GGAGGGGCAGGAGGAGGCTCAAGGACACAGGAGAGCGCGAGGGGAGAGAGTTCTTGTTCTTTCCGGCCTTACGCCGCCGGCTCCGGCGAGCTGGCCACTTGCCCCGGGCCCGTGCTGGCCAGGGAAATGCTGTCCAGGTAGCTGGCGTTGAAGCAGTGGGCTCGGTCCTCCTCCTCCTCCTGGGAGCAGCACTGCTCCTTGTCCTTCCACGAGTCCTTCTGCGTGGTGCACAGGGCGGCGAAGGACCGGGCCTTCTGCAGAGAGCAGCTGGCAGGAGTGGTTAGAGCCCAGTCCGGGGCATGCAGGGAGGGGCGGGACTCCTGGGTTCTACAGCTGGTGATGCCAGTGTCTTATGGCACCACTGTGACAAGCCATTTCCCTTCTCCGTGCCTCAGTTTCCCACCTCTGCACTACGGGGGGGGGGGGGGGGGGGCCCAGCACTGGCACGGCCGTCCCCCCTGCCCCGCCCTCCCCCCAGTTACATCTCTTCCTTCCTCCCCTGCCCCGTCCCAACACTAAATGAGAGCAGTGGCTAATCATGGCACAGAAGAGCCCCCGGCTATTTAGTGAGGGGGGGGGGGATCTCCCCTCCAGCCTCCCCTCCCTCCAGTCCGGCCAGAGCTCACCCCAAGCTCCGTTCTTAGACATGCAGGGGCCGAGCAGCCTTGCCATGGCCACCCGGCGCGCCCTGGTTCAGGGCAGGCTCGTACCCACCTCCTTCTCTGCGCACTGCGTCCGCTCCTCACCCTGCAGGTGACAGCACGGGCCCGTCAGACTCTGGATCACGCTGGGGACTGGTTTCCTAGGAACAGGAGGGAGTCGTTTGTAGCCACGTAAATCAGCGCTCAGGGTCAGCAGCAGCCTGGGGCGCTAGTCCTGGACTATACCCAGAACCGTGCACTAGGGGGCGCTGCGCTGCCACAGGGGCCCTCTTGTGGTGGAGACAGGACAAGGTCACGGAGCAGCCGTCGGGAATCCGGGTGGTTTAAATTCGAACTCACTGAATTACGTCCTGCCTCCCTGGAAGGCTCCCGGGGGAGTCAATGGGATGCTGCACGGCCTGCTATGAACCGCAGGGTCATGCTCTCGGTTCTTCCGGCCATGGGCAGATGTTTTCCATCCATGGGTGGAATACATTTTTGGGCAGCGAGGCAGGTGCGAATGTGCACCACCCCTAGAAACACAAAACCGAGCTGTGGGCGCTCAGCTTGCCTGCAGGGTGGCACTGGAATCTCTCCTGAGTAGCCGCATGAGTTCCCGCTTACAGGGAACACTGGTCATGAAGTGGGACGTTGTTAAATAGCTGCCCCATTCCTCCCCAGAGGCGGCTGCATTATTGGGGGGATGGGGGGTGCATCCAGCATGCACAGCCTGTAAAGCACCTGGGGAGAATTCAGTGACATGCCACAAGCTTAGCCCATCTGATGATCCAGCCCAGAAAGGTTAAGTGATCTGCCTAAGGTCACAGAGGGACACCTGTGGCAGAGCCCAGAATAGATTCTCCATCACCCTGCAGCTGGGGGTTGTCATGTACGCCCCTGCCATGGGGATGGGATGTGCAGGTCACATGCTACCGAGCCAGAGCAGCATTTACACTGGGGCGAATGCGGAGAGAGATCCCAGGTCTCTTGTCTCCTGGGCGCCAGATCACTGCTCTTCACCACAGGCTGGGTCTGCCTGGCCGGCCTTCTCGGCAGGACGCCCCAGGAGAAAGCAAACTAGAGGGAGCAAACGAGCAACGCTCCAGGGATGGGATGTGCAGGTCACATGCTACCGAGCCAGAGCAGCATTTACACTGGGGCGAATGCGGAGAGAGATCCCAGGTCTCTTGTCTCCTGGGCGCCAGATCACTGCTCTTCACCACAGGCTGGGTCTGCCTGGCCGGCCTTCTCGGCAGGACGCCCCAGGAGAAAGCAAACTAGAGGGAGCAAACGAGCAACGCTCCACGGGC